CCTCTTCATTTCTAACCTTTTCTACCCACGATATCCTCATCATCCGCCTATAACACCACATTTCGAACGCTTCTAACCTTTTCTTTTCCGCCGCGCCCACTGTCCATGTTTCGCACCCGTACAATACCGTGCTCCAAACATACACCTTTAACAACCTTTTTCGAATTTCTAGATTAACCGTTCGCGAGCATAGAAGTGATTTCTTTTTATTAAAGGCGATACGACCCTGCGCTATCCTCTATTTTATATCCTTACCACTCCTTCCGTTCTGACTTATCTGACTTCCTAGGTATCTAAAATCAGCCACTTCTTCTAATTTTCGCTCTTTCCCTATATTTTCTTCCCTTGCATACCAGTATTTTAGTTAAAAGAAAAACAGAAGTAAATAGTAAATTTTTGCGGAAGCGGAAACGAAAGCGGATGCGGAAATGGAAGTATAATGATTTTTTTGGCTTCAAAATTGCACTTTTAATTTAAAACTCATAATAGTAAGCAAATATTATACAAAATAAATAAACGATGTAACTGCGTTGGTTGGTTTAGGCCCTAAACTGTAATAAAGTTATTTGCACAGGGATAATATCATTATTAACAATATTTTGCCGGCTGTAAGGCTACACATTGTCGTTAATACTTCATAAACATAAATGGTTGATAACAACGTTACAATGGGGTCGCTGAAAATTGGCGTAGGTACCTGTCAAATAAGCAACGTTATAACGAGCAATTCCATTTAAATTGTGTTTTGAAAACGGTCAAGTTCAGCCAACAAATAAAAGTAATAAATATTTACGACTTGTTTGGTTGTTCCAATATAATGATTTTCAAAAAAAATGAGAAATAAGGTTTTATTATGTTCTGATAAGTTTTCGTTATAAAAGTGCGGAACCACATGCAGAAGCTGATGTGAAAAAGTATGCGGAACTTCCGTAGTTTCGGAAGCAGAAGCAGAGGTCTGTTGCAACACTAATGTCGTAGAACACCCGACCGGAACAAATGATAAATTTTAGTCAAGATATTTTCTAAAAAAAATACCAACAAACATCTAAAATATGGATTCCTTAAACGCTATCTGCTCACAATATATCTAAACATTTAGAAATTTTGATTTCTTAAGGAAGAGAAATATTTACATTTATGCCCCAGAATTACGTAAATTTTGAAAATTTTAATTGTTTATATCACCTCTTTGGATGATTAATTCTTTATTTCTTGCCTTTCACAGCGCCTCAAAACAAAGCATCTTTTATTAAAAAAAAATATTTATTCTCACATTNCTATTTGTGGTATATTCAAATATTTTGTGATCCAGGTATTTACACTCTAATAACACAATAAAATGATTTACAAACGATATAGATATCTTATCAAATAAGCGTATTTGTAGACCGCCATCCTGATAGACTTTGTATTTTTCAATCCGTGTGTAAATGTAAAATGATGCACATGTAGAGTCAATATTTCTGGACACGTAGACCTGGATGTAAAATGTCGCCAAAGATATCACAGAAGAAATGCTCACAGTTTTTGATTAAAAATGGTATAGTCCACAAACGTTAAAACGTGTCAAAGAATTATTATCAAAATAAAAAGAGGGATTTCACCTAAGTGTGATTAGCGCATGTGATGATTTTGAACTTGTAAAATCAAAAATTTATTGCTGTATACTAGATAGTATAGTATCTTTAACGATTTGTTCTTCAGGTACATAGTGATACAATATTATGGTGTAATATTACTGTTGTGGACCAAGTAATAAGTAGGGACATTTATCATAATAATGAGTTAGAGTTGGGTTGTACTTAGTTTAGAATAGTTTTCAAAGAAACATTTGATATTTTCGTGGATGAGAAAATATATTCCACATTTTCGCTCAAGCGACATACATAAAATGAGAAAATGTCGACAATGAAATGTGAAATTCCTATATGCGCTGAACGTTTTCCTTTACCTATATAAAACAATTCTAATAAAAGTACTATTTTGCGAGAGATGCATACTACGTTGGTAAAGTAGGTATAAATTAAAACTGATTTAACTTCAAGTCTCGTTGTAAGGATTGATTCTTGGAGGTAGTGACTGCTGCGATTTTCGATCTTCAGAATTTAAAACGCTTTCTTACTGTAAAGACTCAGCTACTTTCATTAATATCGAATTTCCAGAACGAGTGAAAATTAAAACAATGAATGAATTATACAGTAAACTATTTTAAAACTCAACTAAAAAACTGACTTCTGACCTGTTAGGGCCGCTGTCAGGGTTCGATTTTAATAGAAGTGCGTATTACATTTATTGTGTTTTGATTACAACATTCATAGGTATAGGTACAAGTACTGAACCTTAGAAAAAATTTTACAAAAATTTAAATGTCCAACTGGTTTTGCAGGTGTAAATCATAACTGTACATTCCATTATGGGCATAATTGCATTTACAACAACAAAATAAGTCCTTTTTATTCCGTTTCGCGTGAAACTAGAGCAATGTTGCGGTAAGCCAGAAAACTGTTTTGCAAACTAGAACCACTAGAACACAGAATAAGTGTAATAATAATATAATTTCGCATAAACGTGTGAACGTGATCCGACAACGGTAAGATATAACTAGCGGACACTTTAGTCAGTAACTGTACCTTTTGTATAATAGATATGTTTGTACGTATGTACCTACGTAAGTATAGATCAGTATGTACTGTTCATATATGTATGTCTTCACCCAGTTATTAGAATAATGTCACATTTGTGGACAGAAGACAGAACCGTAGATGTGTTGATAATGAGATGGCTCTACTTACAACACACCAGTTTGTCATTATTTATTGTTTTTTATTGCATTAACCGTTATTAAGAACTTTTTCTCGTTCTGAATCAGTATACCTACATAACGGTAAATAATTGGGTACCTGAGAATTTACTAGTAATATTAGGAAGGGAGTCATACAGGGATGTACACTGTCACCGATAATTTTTAATCTGTACATCGAAGACGCGATCAACATCATTAAAGACAGTACAACTGTAGGGATAGATAAATAGGGGCAAAGATTAGTATGCTTAGATTTGTAGATAATATAGCATCTAGCAAAGATTAGTTAGAGATAGCTGTAAATAAAATGGAAGAGGTGTTAACAAAACAGTATTGTATGAAAATAAATAAATTTAAAACAAAAATACTGGTTTGCAAGGGAGGAAAAGTAAGGAAAGGGCGAATATAAAGATAGGAAACGAAAAATTAGAAGAACTGACTGATTTTAGGTATCTAGGAAGTCAGATAAGTCAGGACGGAAGGAGTAGTAGGGATATAAAGCAGAGGATAGCGCAGAGTCGAGTCACCTTCAACAAAAAGAAGTCACTTCTAAGCTTGCGAACGGTTAATTTAGAAATTCTAAAAAGATTGTTAAAGGTGTATGTTTGGAGCGCGGCGATGTACGGGTGCGAAACATGAACGATGGGCTAAGCCCAACACTTACTAATCGTCATTATTTGTACTTGCCTACCTAACCATAATGGTAAAACAAAACGAGATCGGCTCGAAATCCTTTCATTTACCAGCGGATGCTGGTAAATCCTCAGATTTACAAATAAACCCCAGAATTTTCTAATATTCAATATATCATAATCGTATCTACAGGACACTTAGTAAAATTAAAATTATCTTAGTTGCTTTAATAATATTAATAAAACATGCTATCCGTTGTCAATAAGAACCACGGAGAACCTCAAGAACAAAAATGAGGACAGGGCACGAACTCTGAAAGTAGAAATACACTCAGATTTTGTGAAACCACATTTGCTAATATTTGTCGTTATCCATCTTCATATACTTATACTTAAGTATAAAGTGAAAATTGTTTACATTTAATATTTGCAGCTCGTATAAAAAAGGCATTAAATACATAACTTTCTAATTAGCTATTGCTGAAATTTTGTGATTTTTTTCGATGAGTACATATTTGCATATAATCTTGTATATCAATACGTCAATATAGAAATTTAATGTAATAACGAAAATAAAGTTTGAGAAACGAAACCATAATATAGAAGAAAACTATTTATAATTCAAAATCAACTAACCCTCCGTAACAAAACGGTCACTCTCTGTAACGAACAATACATCTCATTTGAATGTGCATTAAATAAGACTAGTTAGAAAAAAACATTGTATATGGACGATAAAACTAAATATTCGGCAATAGAACATAATGTATGACATGAAACATACTGTATAATGTATTTTCATTTGGGACATCGTAAAATGTTATTACAGATTCGTGGACGTTTTCTTTATTTCTTTTTCAAAAAAATTAACCTAAATTGTTTACATCTTCATCACACTGTCCACTCTTTCCTGTCCTGAGCTAATTTTCACACTTCCATAAAACTAGAATATCCCTCATCCTTAATTATTTGTGAACAGTAGTCTAATCTGGATCTACCTGTACTCCTCTTAACCTTTGCTTCTACTTCTAATATGTCTCTAACTAGCCCTTCATGCTTGAGAAGGTATCCTACCAACCAATATCTCCTATTCCATAGCGCCCTCTGCTCTCCTACTCATTGCAATATCTCGCCATTTTTAATCTTCTCTATCCACGGTATCATCATCAATCGTCAACAAATAATTATCCATCGAATAAACCGTTCATTGTTTTATGACATAATGATGAGCAAGGCAAAACGAAGACTGAAAATTTCTGTCCCAGTCTAAACATTGCAAATAGTGAAAATGTTTTGTTGCTAGGAAAGAATACATCTTACAGCTTTAAATAGTTCAACTCAAATCCACCGGAAGTAAAAATTTTTCGTTTAATCTTGGGTATTTGGTCATGGTATTGCATATTCGGTCTTGGTCTTGATTTTTGCATTTCCGCAAGGCCAAGACTGTAAAACCAAGACCAAGTTTGCTCATCACTGTTTTATGAGAAATGGGGCTTATGAAAACATATAGAAACTAACAAGGACTTTCTTATCACTAACCAATTAATGGGACTAATTGATCTTTTATGACCATTTCTGACCTTTTTAATGACAGGATTGGTTTCTTAAATTCTATATACATATCTATGAGGTGCTGAGATAGCCGAGCCCTTATGTCGTAACGACTAATGCGAGTAGAGCAAACGTCTCGCAATTGTAAAAGTATCATGCACATCAGATCTACATTCATAGACATAAGCACTGTATGTACGTATATAGGTATCCGTCCTATGTTCTAATTCAATTGGTAAAGTCAACAAAAAGCAATAATAGATGTACGTATGAAACGTACACCAGTGATTGCTACATAAACTTAATTGACGACTGCAATCACCGGCGTTTTTAATGCAAAGTTACGAAGTATTACAAAAAAGGCCTACCTATTTCCATTTACCATTTGTAAAAATTCAGGCAGCTCTCGATTTCGATTTCTCACTAACATGTTCGAAGAAATGTAATAAATCTCAATATGGGAACGGGTTTATCGCAAAAAACCTATACCTAAGACTAGATCATTTTCACCTATAACCGTCACATGTATACTGCAGATGCAATAAAATATTCTTTAACAGAAAAGTGAAAGCATCATCATTTCTCCGTAACAATAATAACGAGATGTTAATACATTTAATACATTTACAAATCATGTCGTAGATGTTTATTATCGATTTAACTTTATTATGGGTGTAGGACTTTTTGTTTCGTGTGGTGAGGTTGAATTTAATACCGTTTTAATAAACGTGTAGTATTTCTCTTAAACCAAACTCTTGTATGGGTTTTACCACTTCATTTCCTTTTTCACGAAAATATAAGGTTTCTGTAAATCGGCTGGAAATTGTACACCTACTTCCTCTTTTATAATTATGCACCTACAAATTAATATGCTTATCCTGAATGAGCAGGAAATGAAATATAATCACCAGATACTTCAACAAAATCGATGGCGAAGACAACAAAATAATTCGTATTCGTATGGTAAGTTCTCCGGCATTTTTACGTGAGAAGATTTTTAAAAGTTTAAAACATTGGTTTCTAATTGTTTATTTAGAACTTTTTGAAAGTTTCCTCTGAAAACCAACATACATATGTATAAAAACATACATATTCGAGTTCATTATGTACTCGCTTAATTATTCACGTCGGTGTTAATTTATTACATAAAAAATAAAAAATTATGTTGGCCGAAAATTGTATATACATGTGTTATCCAAAGAAAAATTTACAAACATTTCTTTTAAACTTACCATTGTCATTTTCTTTATTTTTCTCCATTGTCTTCCGGCGAAAAATCAGATATGCACAATCACTAAATATTATCTGTAAAGAAAAAAAGATCATAAGTAAGATAGACAGAAATACCGTTTTAATCATCAAAACAACACACCTATTTATCCACTAACTGCTTGCTTTTTATGAACAAAAATTAGCTCTCATCTGCACACATATTATCTAAGTATAATAAGGAAATTATTCCATTTAAAATCCAATGATATTCCAAAATTTTAAACCTATAGTTTTCAAAAATATATAGAATGCACTCAGTTCCTAATTGTAAGAAATTTTCTAGCTTCAAGGATTACGTTAAATGGCTTTTTAGAAACAGAATGTGACAGTCAGACAAAGGGCAGCGTAAAAAAGAACAGGGTGCATTTTGCCCCCGGGCGACGTCATATTGCCACTTTCAAAGACCGCTCTGGGCTCCAATAGTTAATCGCCTAATAGTTACGCCACTGGTCAGACGTATAATTGACTGTATGAGGGTTCCAATTTTTATTTTGGGTGCTTCAATTTTCTTTTTGAGGCATAGAATATTCTAGAGATAGGTATATGCAGTATTTATGAAATTTTATTTATTGCTTTAGTTTCAATAGTTTTTTCGAAATTTAGTCATTTATTGTTCACCNTTTTCTCTCAAACCGTATACTTTTTTTTAAGATAGATAGTATTTATTTACCTCATGATATGCTGCAAAACCTAATTAATCACGAAGACCGAACGAAGATGACCAAAACTAAAACCTAGAGCAAACGAACAAGGCCATCACTAAAGCCAAGACTCTTCCTTATCTTCTACTATTTTGTTCGAGAAAAAGTCTATTTGTGCATTGAAGGAGGCTATCAGCAAGACCAAAACAATACAAAGACTGGAACAGTGTCAGTCTTGCTTTACTCATTACTCATTACTAGTATTCACCCTTGTTACCGATCTCGGTAAAATCAAATTTAATTTAATGATTTAGTGGTAACAATATTGGAAACTTAACACTAGCTCAAAAAAATCGATTACTAATTTTTAAATTAAAATATCTATTTTCTAACATTTAAAATAGCTTTTAAATTAATAGATATTGAAATCTTAATTTCATTTCTAAAAAAAAAAACACATTCGACTTGCGTACTTTATTTTTGATCACACCTCATATATAGTCACCGTTTTGGTTTGCCATCTACATGAAATAAGTTGTAAGAACAAATAAAACAGAAAACGTTAAATACTGTAGTCATCTGTTTAACGTTTGTAAACTCGAAAACATAAATAAACAAAAACGCTTTATTTAAAAGCATCCACAATAAAAAAAAACATGACTGATACTGATGGTAATACGTTGTTTTTTATTAAAAAGCAGTTTATGTATTGTGTCCCACTAAAGCAATTTAATTGGAAGGTAAATAATGACACGTGGTAAGTTAAAAGTTGTTTTGTAATTATTCTTGTTGTAGAATTTGTTTGAAAATGTCTCCATAGATGTTCAAGAAGTCCTGACTAATAACACAGTTAATAATTCAATCTTAATTAAGTATCCGATTAAAGCAAGCTATCAAACTGCGTTTTTAAAATTTATTATAAACAATTTAGAGAAGAAGAAAACTGAAATCCACGACTGTGTATATGAAGCTTTGGGACGAACGATGGCGCTGCCTGTCCCATCTGCATATCATTTTAAACATTTTATATTTCAAAATTTAGATCCAATTATAATACAAGAAAGCACAAATATAATTTCAAGTGGAACTACAGGACTTAGCGTTTGGGAAGTAAGAATATGAAAGATTTTAATAGAAAACTCATTCACTTTTAGTGATGAGCAAAATTGATCTTGATCTTGGTCTTGCGGTCTTGACCTTTTGCAAGACTGTCTTTATAGTAGCAAGACCAAAATGAAGATTGAACGAACAAGAGTAGACTAAAACCAAGACTGAGTATTCAAGACCAATACTAAATACGCAAGACTTAACGAAAAATGATTACTTCCAGTTGATTTTAGAAATAAATTATTGGAAGCAACATTAATATATTCTTTTCTTGGAACAAAACATTTCTAGTATTTTAAATTTTCAGTTTGCAATAGATTTTAACACTGAATATATAAAAAAAACACACTTTACCACTGTTTAAAAAAGGAATGTCCCCGCAGTATTATTTATTCCCATGTCTGGATAACACATGGTTGAAATATAGAGGTACACTTTTTTTTTCGATATTTTTCTTCTTTCAATAACCTTGTACTATTTTTTCGATAAAATGTCAATTTATGCGTTGAAGATTATGTTCTCATAACTATCGACAGTATTTTCTTAAAAAGCCATGAAAAACTTGCGTGTATATCAGAATATTTCAGCATTTAAGACAATCATTGTGTCGGTAAATAAAAAAATATTAAAAAAGTATCACATTAAAAGAGCAATATCAAAACTTANTTCTTTTCCGCCGCGCCCACTGTCCATGTTTCGCACCCGTACAATACCGTGCTCCAAACATACACCTTTAACAACCTTTTTCGAATTTCTAGATTAACCGTTCGCGAGCATAGAAGTGATTTCTTTTTATTAAAGGCGATACGACCCTGCGCTATCCTCTATTTTATATCCTTACCACTCCTTCCGTTCTGACTTATCTGACTTCCTAGGTATCTAAAATCAGCCACTTCTTCTAATTTTCGCTCTTTCCCTATATTTTCTTCCCTTGCATACCAGTATTTTAGTTAAAAGAAAAACAGAAGTAAATAGTAAATTTTTGCGGAAGCGGAAACGAAAGCGGATGCGGAAATGGAAGTATAATGATTTTTTTGGCTTCAAAATTGCACTTTTAATTTAAAACTCATAATAGTAAGCAAATATTATACAAAATAAATAAACGATGTAACTGCGTTGGTTGGTTTAGGCCCTAAACTGTAATAAAGTTATTTGCACAGGGATAATATCATTATTAACAATATTTTGCCGGCTGTAAGGCTACACATTGTCGTTAATACTTCATAAACATAAATGGTTGATAACAACGTTACAATGGGGTCGCTGAAAATTGGCGTAGGTACCTGTCAAATAAGCAACGTTATAACGAGCAATTCCATTTAAATTGTGTTTTGAAAACGGTCAAGTTCAGCCAACAAATAAAAGTAATAAATATTTACGACTTGTTTGGTTGTTCCAATATAATGATTTTCAAAAAAAATGAGAAATAAGGTTTTATTATGTTCTGATAAGTTTTCGTTATAAAAGTGCGGAACCACATGCAGAAGCTGATGTGAAAAAGTATGCGGAACTTCCGTAGTTTCGGAAGCAGAAGCAGAGGTCTGTTGCAACACTAATGTCGTAGAACACCCGACCGGAACAAATGATAAATTTTAGTCAAGATATTTTCTAAAAAAAATACCAACAAACATCTAAAATATGGATTCCTTAAACGCTATCTGCTCACAATATATCTAAACATTTAGAAATTTTGATTTCTTAAGGAAGAGAAATATTTACATTTATGCCCCAGAATTACGTAAATTTTGAAAATTTTAATTGTTTATATCACCTCTTTGGATGATTAATTCTTTATTTCTTGCCTTTCACAGCGCCTCAAAACAAAGCATCTTTTATTAAAAAAAAATATTTATTCTCAAATTATACTGTATTATGTTTAATGAATAATAAAATTCGTAATACTAAAAATACTTAAAAATGATACTTTTGATTAGGCGTCTGTTGTTTTATCAGAATGGTGTATAGCAAACAGGGAGAGATTGAAAGGAAAAAGTATATTAGAACTAGGATCTGGATTGGGATTAACAGGAATTACAATTTCTCGATTCTGCAATCCAAAAATAATACGGTTCAGCGATTGTCATCAACAAGTTTTCGATATTTTGTCGCGCAACATAAAATTAAATTTGGAAAATACCTTGTCGACATCTGATATGTCTAAAAGTGAATCTCCAGTAATTCAAAAATTTGTTAGTGATAATCAGATAGTAGAAGTGCTAAAATTATTTTGGGAAGAAATCGACGAAAACTTCTGTAAAAGTAAGGAAATTGACTACGTTCTTGCAGCGGACGTCGTTTACGATTCATCCATTTTTCCAGTCCTTATAAACGCTCTAAAGCTTCTTATTTATTATTGTAACGTAACAGTAATTTTTGCTTGCACCCAAAGAAACCCAGAAACTTTGGAGTCATTTCTGAAAACTGTCGGTAAGTGTAGATATAACTTTACCATTACTTTTTAGACTAGTGTTCATCGAAAGAGAAAATAGTAAATGTACGATACTACTTAATTTAAATTTATCTAGTAATCATTGTTGTTAATCACAGTTCGTTAATAAAACGATTATTTTAGTCGACAATTCACTTTCACTAACTAAATTAAATGTTCCCGAACAAAAAGAGTTCATCTGGCCGAATGACGTTCCTGTGAAGATCTTTTGTATTCATCGCGACGAAGTGAAAGGTAAAGCAAATATCATTCGAATTAATTCTAATTCATAAATTAACTCTCACAAGAAGCAAAAGTAATTAACCGGTTTCTGTAAACGGAACTTAACTTTTAAGTACTTTTCTTTAATCATTTATTGGCCAATTTGCATATAGCACAGGTGAACCGAGAATTGAACATAGGGATATTTAATTATAAGCAATAATCAAACGGTGGCATCATCTTTTGAAAAATGGGACGTGGTATAGGAAAATTCGTACAAGTACCTTCGACTATCATTTCATATATGGTCTCGTGTGTTAGTGTCATCATCATCATCATAAGGTCGACAGTCTAAGACTGGTTGGACACGTACCTCCACTCTTTCCTATCCTGAGCTAAACTTCGCATTTCCTTAAAACTACAACAACTCACATCCTTAACAATTTGCGAACAGTAATCTAACCTAGGTCTACCTCTAGCGTTGATTGAGGATTGACTTGCCTCTAATATGTCTCTGACTAGACCTTCATGCCTGAGAAGGTGTCCTACCAACCTATCTCGCCTATTTTTTATTGACTTCCATAGAGTCCTCTGTTCTCCTATTCTTTCCAATACCTCTTCATTTCTAACCTTTTCTACCCACGATATCCTCATCATCCGCCTATAACACCACATTTCGAACGCTTCTAACCTTTTCTTTTCCGCCGCGCCCACTGTCCATGTTTCGCACCCGTACAATACCGTGCTCCAAACATACACCTTTAACAACCTTTTTCGAATTTCTAGATTAACCGTTCGCGAGCATAGAAGTGATTTCTTTTTATTAAAGGCGATACGACCCTGCGCTATCCTCTATTTTATATCCTTACCACTCCTTCCGTTCTGACTTATCTGACTTCCTAGGTATCTAAAATCAGCCACTTCTTCTAATTTTCGCTCTTTCCCTATATTTTCTTCCCTTGCATACCAGTATTTTAGTTAAAAGAAAAACAGAAGTAAATAGTAAATTTTTGCGGAAGCGGAAACGAAAGCGGATGCGGAAATGGAAGTATAATGATTTTTTTGGCTTCAAAATTGCACTTTTAATTTAAAACTCATAATAGTAAGCAAATATTATACAAAATAAATAAACGATGTAACTGCGTTGGTTGGTTTAGGCCCTAAACTGTAATAAAGTTATTTGCACAGGGATAATATCATTATTAACAATATTTTGCCGGCTGTAAGGCTACACATTGTCGTTAATACTTCATAAACATAAATGGTTGATAACAACGTTACAATGGGGTCGCTGAAAATTGGCGTAGGTACCTGTCAAATAAGCAACGTTATAACGAGCAATTCCATTTAAATTGTGTTTTGAAAACGGTCAAGTTCAGCCAACAAATAAAAGTAATAAATATTTACGACTTGTTTGGTTGTTCCAATATAATGATTTTCAAAAAAAATGAGAAATAAGGTTTTATTATGTTCTGATAAGTTTTCGTTATAAAAGTGCGGAACCACATGCAGAAGCTGATGTGAAAAAGTATGCGGAACTTCCGTAGTTTCGGAAGCAGAAGCAGAGGTCTGTTGCAACACTAATGTCGTAGAACACCCGACCGGAACAAATGATAAATTTTAGTCAAGATATTTTCTAAAAAAAATACCAACAAACATCTAAAATATGGATTCCTTAAACGCTATCTGCTCACAATATATCTAAACATTTAGAAATTTTGATTTCTTAAGGAAGAGAAATATTTACATTTATGCCCCAGAATTACGTAAATTTTGAAAATTTTAATTGTTTATATCACCTCTTTGGATGATTAATTCTTTATTTCTTGCCTTTCACAGCGCCTCAAAACAAAGCATCTTTTATTAAAAAAAAATATTTATTCTCAAATTATACTGTATTATACTTTATTATTTATATGAAAAACTGGCTGAAAGTATGTATTTATACGAATTTAGCTTTACCATAATAATAATAGTAGAATATTCCTATGCTCGGTTTTACAGTTCACCGCTAGTGTATGCGTTATAATTAGTTACATAAGTGTAAAATTAGTTGCTTTCCGTATATAGTTCGTCAATACATAAATTAACCAATTAGTTTTTTAAAGTAAACAAGGAATACTGCGTAATTGATTTTTTAATGCACGTTACAGGTGCATTGATTAATGTACCAACTGCCTACTATAAACTATATATATGCACTTTTTTAACCGCGATTTATTGTTACTGCATCCTGAAGCTATTTTGTTTATCTGTCGTGTTATACGTATTAGGTTTATTCGAAGATTTAACTTTATAATTTATCCTTAAAATACTGACTACCATTACATTTTATGCTTTTCACACACAAACATATTTTTTTTTAGATTTTAACATCGGAGTCAGTCAAGTTGAGTGAAACTTATGGATTTTTCTTTAACATTTCAGCATTCCACATTGTACATACAAATGTAGGTAAACAAAATAAATAAATGTACTGATAAGTCATTAAGTCTTTGAAAATCGACAGTATATTGTTTTATTTATAATTTTTTGCAGCGGAGTCTTAATACTTAAGTTACTACAGTCAAAAACAAGAAATTTTTATTTATAACAATTTAAAAATAATTTAAGAATAATTATATTTCTATGCGTCTTCGATTACTAAAAAGTGCCCTACCTATGTATGTAGCAATATAAACGATTTAACGACCTTTAGCTAATAACATTGTTGATTTAAAGAGAAATTACTATTAATACCTATACATAACGTGGGCTGCAGAAATTTTACTACTTAAAGACAACTGCATATTAGTAATTCACACGAATTAGCATACGAATTATTGGTGCGTTTATATTATTATACGTAGGTGCAGGCCTCGACGTAGCTGTGGAGGAGGAGTGTCTAGAGAATAAAGACAGGATATCTTCCGTTTGTAAGAACGAGAAAAACGATATGCCTTTAGTGTGCATTATTTATTGGGGACTTTGCCTTCTTATTTCGACTGTACTATACTTAAGTAAAGACGCATTGAAAACGTATGTCACATTGGAAAAACTAAGTGAAATCTCGAAGTGGAAAATCACAAACCGGAAGACTGGAAGTGGGTGCAATTGTAAACCTTTGTATTTAATTTGATTTGATTGATTGCTTTTTATTCGTAAATGAAATAGCGGGTTCAATTACCACTCCTCAACTCAAAATCTCAAGTTGCTCCCCAGTTACGGAAGTTAACTCTGTTTAAGTTGTTTTATTACGTGTAGTAATAACGCGGTACACCTTAATAAGTCTGTAATATTGCGGCTCGTGCAGAATTTTCTTTTCCGAATATGTGGCACACATCCTCTTGCATGATGCATTTGAACAACAACAGCAAAAACTATTGCCTGCCCCAGTAAAATACCGTTAATAATTAATTAACTGAAATAAGCACGGATGGCAGTAAATGCCTCGCCATTCGACCAAGCCACAAAATGGCATTAAAAAGGAATATCTTCAACGAAGCGCTAAGACTATAACGCAAATGATGTGGTGTATTTAATAGTTAATTATCGATCAATTGAACGAATGAAAAAAACTGTTAATGGCACGAGGCATATTCAAGCAAACACGAAACAAAAACGATATACAGGAAGAAGAGCTGGTGCTAAGCACGTAACTATTAATCGAGCAATTTGTATTATACGGTAATTAGGCATTGATGTTGGTATTTTATGAGCAATTTCAAACACATGTGGAGAGTGCAATTTAAGATGAATTACATAGAAATTACGCAGGTCAACAACATTTTTGTCGCGATTAAACTTTTCAAATATTTCAATAATATAATTCGAAGTGGTCTGTATTCTGTCGAAACTGCCAGACGCGGATCGCGATTTCGATCTTTTTGGATCTCATCAGCGCGTCGCAGGCAGCTCCG